GTCTCTCTCTATGCCTCTGGGCTGCCATTTCCTCACCTCGGGACCAGAAGAGGCTTCTCTACTCCCAGATGTCCTTTAATCTGCCCATCTCTGGCACAGTGAGAATGCAGCCCTCCCAGCAGGCTTTTCTCCAGCCTTACTCTTAGCTATACTCCCAAGGCTGAGAGAAACCTTCCCTGGGAGTTCCTGGAGCTCTGCAAGCCAAGCTCTCTCCAAGATCCTGCACCTTCCAGTCCTCTATCTGCCACTCTGTGTTGCTAAGCACATTGTCCTGACATAACCCATGAGAGGAAATACTCTCCAGGTCTCCTCAGTGGGATTCCTCAAAGTGGGCTTCAGGTGAGTCCAGCTGTCTAGCAGCTCCAGTAGCCTTTTGACTTAACAGGCAGGTAGATTGCAGATGGAAGCTAGTGGGAGGTGAAGGGTACGAACGAAGCTCAGGTGTCCATCTCTTTCATGCCTTTATTTTACTCTTTGTTTGATTCTGTTTTTGGTGTACTTTTGTAGTTGGCATATAGCTAGATTTTCTTTACTTTACTATAATATTTGTTTCCATTAATTGTAATTGCTGATATATTTGGATTTTATTCTACCATCTTACTTTCTAGTTTGTTTTCTGCTCTTTTATCTTCACATCTCTTCTTTTCCTTTCTTGCTTTTTGTGGATCTGATGAATGATTCTCCAGCGGTTTGGAAGCTTTAAATTTATATATTTTTTTCTTTTTTGGTAATACCCTCTAATTCTTAACATATATGTTGAAATCTTCATTTTTCTAACAAATTCTAAAATTATTCCCCATATTAATTCTCCTCCCAAAGATCTTAAAATACTATATTGTCCTCTGAAAATTATCTCCATTCCTCCTTGTTTTATTGTCTAGAGTATTGGTTCCACCCAATGATTAAACACAAAATTTATAACTTATTTTTTACACCAATTCCATTCTTTAAAGAAATATTTACTAAGTGCCTACCTTGTGTCAGGCACCACTCTAGACACTGCGATCCTGCAGTGAACAGCACAGACAAGGTTCCTGCTCTCGTAGAGCCTAGAACTTACACCGTCATTCTCATCACTGCTTCGGGCATCCCGTTCCTTAACAGGCAGGTCTCGGGGGGGGGGGTAAACTCGCCCAATACCTTTACCTGTGAAAATTTTCTTCTCTTCACCCTTGTATTAGTCCACTTTCTATCGCTTATAATAAAATATGCAGAACTGGGTGATTTATAATGAAACCAAAATTTATTGCTTACAGTTTCTGAGGCTGGGAAATCCAAAGTCCATCTGGTGGGGGTGACAGTGACTCAGGGGTCTCACATTGCAAGACAGTGGAAGCAGAGAGAGAGCAAGAAGACAACTTCCTCATTCACTCTCCTTTTAAAGCTCTCCAAACCATGCCCCTGAGCACTATTTTAATCCATTCCCTCCAGCATGGTCCTGCAGTCTAGTCACCTCTTCAATGCTCCACCTTTCAATTACCATGATAGGATTTCCCACCCTCAACAGTTACAGTGGGGATTAAGCTTCTTTTTTTTTTTTTTTTTCCTTTTGTCTTTTTTCGTAACCGGCAACGGATCGCAACCCTCAGTGNAAAAAAAAAAAAAAGTAATCCATTATTTAGTAATCCATTTCGAATTATACAGATAGACAGAAAACACATACACATCAGCTAAAATGAGAGAAACAGCCAAACATTGCTCATGACTGTTTCCTCTCCTCTTTTTCCACTTATTGAAATCTGTTCTCATTCATTTATTTTGTTAAAGTTCTTTCGTATTTTCTTTAGTTGGGATAACTGAATCATACACTCTAAATTCTTTCTTTATATGAAAGAATAATAATCTGTTGGCTGGAAGTAGGAATTCTGGACTTTGGTTCTTTTGTCTTCACAGTCTGTAGGTGTTGGTTTCACTCTCATCAAGCTTCTGCTGTTGTGTAAGTTAAATCTCACACCGGCGAGGTATATATTGCTTTCGTTAGGAAACTTGTACTATTTTCCCCTCAACCTTCAAATTCAGGAATATTACTAGGATATGCTTACATGTACATTTTTTTTTCAACTCTCCCAGAAATTTAGTGAACCTCAATATATAGTTTTGGATCTTTCTTAATCTCAGTGTAATTTTCTTTATTATTGCTTCTCTTCTGTCTGTTGCTTTTTTATTCCTTCTGAAAATTCTATTGCTCGTCTATTAGAGCTGGATCTCTCCTCAAAGGCTCATTACTGATCTCATGATTTCTAGTTACCTCCTTTAGATGGTTTGAGAAATTTGTCTTGATCTTTCATGCCACTAATCTGCATTTAAACAGTGGCTATTCTACCCTTCAATTTATTCTATTTTTTAATTGCAATTTTAGTACTTAGTCCCATGAAGTATTTTTATGTTGTACTTGAAACTCCTTCTGAGCACTGACTGACTTTTTTTCTTGCTAATATCCAGTGCCATAGATTTAGGTGCTCATTTGATATTTGTCAAATGATTTTATTAACTAAATTTTGTTGTTCTTATTCAGTTGTTGCTTTCTTCACCAGCAACTCTAGTATATATTCTGATTCTAATAATATTCTCTCAGGATGCTGGGCTACTTTAGATGTGGTTTGAAGGGAGGGCTTGGCTATGGTTTTTGGAGTACCTTGAATTGTGGCAATACTGTGTATTAGTCCACTTTCTATCGCTTATAATAAAATATGCAGAACTGGGTGATTTATAATGAAACCAAAATTTATTGCTTACAGTTTCTGAGGCTGGGAAATCCAAAGTCCATCTGGTGGGGGTGACAGTGACTCAGGGGTCTCACATTGCAAGACAGTGGAAGCAGAGAGAGAGCAAGAAGACAACTTCCTCATTCACTCTCCTTTTAAAGCTCTCCAAACCATGCCCCTGAGCACTATTTTAATCCATTCCCTCCAGCATGGTCCTGCAGTCTAGTCACCTCTTCAATGCTCCACCTTTCAATTACCATGATAGGATTTCCCCCCCTCAACAGTTACAGTGGGGATTAAGCTTCTTTTTTTTTTTTTTTTCCTTTTGTCTTTTTTCGT